ACCTTGGCCAAGGCACTACCTCTGATTTCCTCAATTAAAAAAATAAGGTAGTAGGAGTAAAGAATATTCAAGAACACTTGCAGCTCCAAAATTCGGATTATAAAATGAATCAACTCTAGAAAGACAAAAGAAAATGAGAAATAAAGCTAAAAATATAGACCATGCTAGAGGTAAGATATGTAAAATTATTGTATAAATGGATACAGAAAAATGGACTGACTTCCCCAGAATTCAAAATACTGACAGCATTATTTTTAAACACTCAAAAGGGTTATTATTAGATAAAAGAACTCATAGTAATGCTACATTTATTAAACTTCAAGAATGGAATCCTGAATATAAGATTTTTAAGTTAGTAAAGCTTATTCTTTTTAGTCACTAGAACTTTAAAAATATTAGCATTTTGCTAAATAATTTCTAAAATATAATGCTACTGTAAATGTAGTACAGTAAATGCATTCAGACATTTAGAGGTGACTGGTATAAATTGTGTTGCTCCCATTTGGGCAGTTCCAAGGCAAAGTAGTGATGGCTTTTACAGGTATCATGTCATCCTCACAATGAAACATCACCAGCATCATGAAGCAGCAGGAGTAAGCCTTGCAATTATTTATTTACTATTTGTCTGATCTTTTAATTAGTTTAGTATTTGGTTTTTCTGAATGAGTATGGAATATGTAGGAACTCGGTCAGGGATTTCTTAGGCACTTTGAAATTATTAGGAGAGGAGAGAGGCAGTAATGGGGGGGTGGTTACTTGTTCATCTAAAAAAAGTGTCTAAATAAGCAACATGAGAATATAGTAATATGTGAGATGAAGGTGCACCATCTTCACCATCTTAGCATTTGAATTACTGCTCAAAAACAGTACACAAATGAAATGGGCACACCATTGTTTAACCTTTAAAACCTTTTTGTGAATGGAGAGAAATATCAGTTAACTGTGTGCACAATCAGTGGCAGTTTTCACACGTACATAAGAGGCCTGATGCACACAAAGAAAGTCTGACTCTTCTAGTGTCTCCTTCCTGGGGACCTGCAGGTTGAGCTCCCTCAATGCTAATGAAGAATATTCCCTTCTACCCTATGACTGACTGACAGGTCTAGTCAAAACAGGGTTATTTCTTCCCTCTCGTTAATACATTGATTGTTGCTTTTAAATTTATCCTCAGCTTTCATACTATACAATTTGAACGGACAGTGTATACCCTACCCCCTGTCCCCTACCCGCCCCCCCAAAAAAAAAAAGAAAACTAAGAAAGTTTCTTACCTGTTCCTTCTTATCATTAATTTTGGGAACCTTATATTTGGAAGAATAGAAATTTTAGATTAAGGGAAACTTCAGCTTTTGTCAGGTGGTTAGGTATGGATGAGTTTATCCAGTTTGTGTTTTCATGGAAATTTTCCTTCTGCGGTTTGCAGTATAAACAATACAGCAAAATTTAGTTACATGAATTTGGTTAAGCTTTTTGGTTAATCGATATCTATGTTGGTTGGTTGATATCTATTTTTAAATTTATTTTGCTTTTCTTTAAATTGTATATCTATTAAAATGTTTGATTATGGAGCACATAATGATTGATACAATATCAAAACATTCTTACTATTTCCTCATAAACTACTATGTGGTTTTTTTGATGAATAGTTTCATGGCATCTGCATTTGGTTGAAGAAATCCTTATCATGCATTAACTTTTCTACAACCTTCTGGAACCTGTTGCCATGTTTTGAACCATGTCTCTGAGGTAATAGTCTTATCTCTTATCCTTCCTGCCTCTTACTTTTCCAAAACTAGACCCACTTCAGTATTATGGACCTTCTCGTTCCCTTAATTATCTTCCTGCTCTCAAGCCTAGCATACATATTTAGTAAATAAATTCTAGCTTACTTTCCATTTTCAATCTCCTATACTTCTTATTCTCTATATTCAAGAATACAAGCACTTTCCTGATCCTGAAAAGTTCTATTGCTTTGCTGTTTCTGACCTCCGTAATGCCATCATTTTTTACATTCTTTCACTACAGTTTGTGTTCACACTCATTGCCTCTATCTCCTTAATACTCACTGCTATAGATAGGGAGATTGGGAGTAGGTGGTAATTATTGCAAGCAAAAGACAATTACATCCATTTTGGACTAGTTGTGACAACCCCATAGAAATGCCCATAGTCTGTCCCCACAAAAGGGACAGACTTGTGATGTAGAGAACAAGACTATAACAAGAGTACAAGGAGCCTTGCCTCATTCACAGAGGCAAAAGCTATGACGATTAACAAGCTCTCTGAAGTAGAGCTTCATAGATAGAAAGCAGTGGATCTTAAGGAATGCCTATAATTAAGAAAGAGAAGGACAATGGGGTATAGAGGTAGGAAGGATATGGAAGTATAAGTGATTGTCCAGTTTAGAATTCCTTTACTTTTAGGCTG